CAAAATCTTAACCCAATAATCACGCATCATAGGCTTCATTGTTGAACATATTTAAATGAAATTGGAGACGCGTGTCTTTTGCTAATATTAGTGTCTTAACAAGCGCTGAAATAAAATTTCCTTCAAAAGAGTTAAACGATATACGTAAGCTTGAGACAAAGGGGTTTCGTTAATCCTGCAAATGTATAAATGTATTACATAGTTATTGCCGCCCAAACAAAACATAAATAGTATTATTATAAATAATAAGAATAAAGAAAAAATATAATCGTTGAAACGGAAAATGTAAGGAAAGCGTCATATTCGCTTTGGAACAAATCGTAGATGTCTGCTATGACCACGTAACCGTATGCAAATTACAGCCGATGGAGATTACTCTGAGTGATATAATAATATAAAAACGTTACATAGTTGCGGTAAATATCACATCTATATCCTCTTTAAACTTGATGCTGTCAGTGGCTACAGTCAAATGTCGAATTTCAACTTATAGCGCCTTTTTAGTGCTCATATTTCTTAATTCCATTTGTCGAATAGAATCTAGAAACTAGATGCCAAAATTCAATTTTTATTTTTATTAACTTGACAAGACCGAATTAATAAACGACAAATAACAATGGATACAGAAATTGATAGGCGTACAATTAAACCTATGCGTACATGGCTGGATGGAAAGGTTGGGCGTGAAAAGGGTTGCATGAATAAATAGATAGACCGATGAAAACATGAACGAACACACAAACGATACGAAGAACGTATAGCCGAAGTAGGAATTAGACAGCTTAAAAAATGGGTAAATAGATGAAATCATAAATAATTCTGACGATATCCAGATTGATGTAAAGACGACTAGCGGATCGGTGCGGAAGCAGGTGGCGAAAGGAAAGGGGAAAAAATACTGGATATTCCACTATAATCAAGAATAAGTCCGTTAGGACGTCCTTACAAGGACGCTTTATATACATTTTCGGCTTGACACAAGCCGTTAGGAACAATTATTAGAGCAGTTAGCAGGGCACGGATGAAGTTGCATTCTAATATATCAGATATTGAGAGTGGACAAAGTTTTAAGTTTTCTTAAGAATGAAAGTTTAGACTGATTCTATATTAGATAGATTGATTCAATATTTATTTAAATACATGCATGGATACTTATGAGATCAGGATTAAAATATTAGGTGAAGATGACTCAACATGTACTACTACATGTACTACTACATGTACCCGTACGAGTATTTAAGGTGAACATCACGATGATGGCGAGTCCTTACCCGTCTCATATGCATTAGTATATGAGATCTTAATCAGAGAGTATTCTAAATTACAAAAGTAGTTTCAATCAAAACGTAACGTTGTTTCACTTATAGGATGGAAATATCTTCAAGGAGGTGGCACGTTATCGGTACTTTTTTGTGTGTTCTGTGTAATAAGAAGCTCTATTGCCAAATTAGTATACTTCCGACGTTTAACTGCTTGGGAACATTGGACATAAGCTTAGTTAATTATGGACACATATACACACGCTCCTTACAAATTAATGTAAATACTCGTATATGCGTGAATGTCCAATATTTGAGAATTATTTGTTGAAAGAAGTCATTTATAATGTGACATAAGTGCTAGAGCATAACAAATGATACAATAACCTTTTACCAAGGAAATGAGGGTATTATTCATATTCATAGAAAATATATGTACATGCGTGTGTGTGTATGTATGTGCAAGTGCGAATACGTGTATGAGTATATTTTGCAGAACCAAGACGTTTTACAAACAAAGAAATTCACCGTTCGCTTCATTCCTCAAGTAGGTTATATACTGATGTGTTGTCTCCAAGTGTAATACACGAGAAAAAGAATTGTTGAAAAATGATTCAAAATCAGTCAACTAATTTATTAAAGTTCAAAAAAAAAAAAAAACCAAATTCAAAAAATATAAAACGAAAAACCTTTCAATTCCAAAAATGATAAATAGAGAAATTTTTATAAATCCTTGCTTTTTTTTCTTTTGATTTGCAATAATTATTTTTTTTTTTTGCGTTTTAAACCTTTTTAAAAATTAGCACAAATTTCATTGTTAATTGTGTTTCAAATATATTTATGCTTATATACATTACTTACTTATTTATTTCATTTTATTTTATTTATTTATTTTTATTTTTTGCATCACCATGTCAGACGCACATATGTGTAGAAAAAAGTCTCTTTACGCGTTCGTTCTTATCGAATGGTAAGAGCAGGAAAAACTTTCTTGTTTTGATTAGATTTTGTTCTCTTACTTTATTGATTTTTTTTCTGGCCAAACATTGATGGAAAACGTGACTGGAATTTAGAAAATTTTTTCCTAAGTTTCTCTAAAACGATTCTCGTTATAATTTTTATAAATTAAAGTCTCTTTTGAAGCTGAAAGTAAGCAAACTTCAATTTGCTTTAATTAGCCCGGATAAAGTGAAGTGAAAATATACTTGAAAATCTATATTTATTGAGAAAGTTTTCATCTATGTAAAATCCTTGACCAAAAAAGAAAAGCAAACTTATTTTCAATAATTCTTCTCAACACTTTTAAATAAACCTCTGCTACAAAATGTAAGTCAATAATGAAACATAAATATCAAAATTTATCTTCCTATTTCAATAATTGCGATTCTAAAAATTATTACAACAAAGAGACAGACGGCATTCTGGACTATGGTCTAAGCGATTAAGAATTTTTCGGGGGAATAAGGTTGCGCACTTGACAGAGTTATTTTTTCCTCACATTTTTCCTCACGTCTGATGCTAATATTTCGATATAATGATTTGTTCCCGCTAAAAAGCGTCTTAAGTTTTGATCAGCGTAAATTTATGAGCAAATGTAGCCACTCTCAGTTCGCGATCTATTGTTTTATTAATTTTCTCTTCAAGGTCCTAGGGTCGCATAGTCATCCTATATATAATATGGCAATGTATTTTTTTTTTAAAAGACAATTTTATCACACAATAAGAATCATTATCATAATTAATAATTAATGTGCCAGTAATACTACAAAATCTCTTTCGGCAAAATAATCACCAACAGCATAGATAGAGATGCAAATAACTTAACCATCCGTATACAATACAATGTCAAGATTCAGATATGACCATAAATTATAAATTATAAAACATTTTTATTGCTACTTTAAATCTGCTACGATTAATACTCATTTTGACATGGAGTTGTACACGGTCTCATAACTTTACAGCGTTAACAAAGAATAGCCTTGACGATGTTAAGCATTTATGGTCAGGTAGGATTAGATTTATCGACACCTCAGATTTCGTGAACTAAATTTTCTTAGGTAAATATCTTGGTGTTCCGGGCCAGATAAGCTTGTGGAGAAAAAGAGGATTTCTAATATTAAGATATGTCAGAAGATAAGAAGCCAATGTCTGCAGTGAAACCTACGATTTGCTATCATATCTTCGCTTGTTGAAAACATATCTGGCACACTTATATATGTCAACTTGCAATTTTTTATTAAAAGCACATTTGCCATATCCATAGGCTCCGTATGATATGAGCGGCACGACAAGACATTTACAAATCTTAATCTGATAAAGATTGGAACATCAGATGAGGAGACCCATAGCTTTCTTAAAATATTATGAACTGAGCATAACAATGTAATTAACTTGTCTCTTTCCGCTCAAGCGAGAGTCGAGTTTAAAACCAACTACACTAACAACACTTAATATCTCATCAATCATTTTAATGCATGGTAAAGAATAGGAATCGTAACCTGTCGGCGATATTACAATGGCTTTATTTTTGCTTGAACTTAACTTTAAACGGTTAATATCCGACCAGAGAATAATACGCTCTAAATCACCATTTATTGTGCATCATCAGCGGATAATTGAACACTACAATCATGACAATAGTAGATTTCGTCATTTACAAAGGAACTGAATAAAATAGGCCCCAAATTGCATCCTTGTGGATGGGTTGCCAGACGTAATCAACTGATGTTCCGAAGAAGCACCGCCAATTACCACACGTTAGTATATGGATTTTCCAAATAATACTTAATTAAATTAATCGCAGATAAACTGAAGCGAAAGATCCTACGGAAATCAATGATAACAAGAATAGTCAAATCCCCCTACGATAAGGTTGAATGAATAACCTCTAAGCTTTGAGCACTGACGTATTGAAACTATGTCCAGATTTATAATGCGATTAATTAACATTAAGTACATTCTTGGCATTCAAATGCAATCTATTGTGATCAGCTATCAGGCGTTCAAAGACTTTCGGTAAAAAAGGAAGAATATTAAGCGGGTGTAATGGGAGTTACCATTGCTATTTTCCAACATTCAGGAAATGAGAATGTTGTTAGTGTGCGATAATATACATGAGTCAAGGGTGTAATAACACAAAAGAGAACAGCTTCAGATACCTGATGCCACTACTGTCAGGGCCAACACAATTTGATTCAATGTTGTGTACAGGCAGATATACTTTACCCCCTGTGATGGCTCTTCATTGAAAAGTTTCACCATGCCGATGCATAACCTCCTGATTCACAAGGAAGGAACGGCTTCTACATTCAGAGTTGGATTTCAGGATTAACTTCTCACATTATCTGACTCCTCCTAACGCCTACTTCCTTCAGATTCTTCCAAAGCCACTTAGGAGAAAGATTGATATCCAACTTCTTATTAAAGTGAAGTCGTTCCATGTGCTTGGTAACACTATGAACGGAAAACTTTCCAATTAACCGCATCGGGGCAATTTTGTGAGTTTCATTACGAAGTCTAATGGCTTTTTTGACTTCAATGGAAAACCAGAGCGGCATGAAGGTACTAACTCCATACGACTTCAATGCCAGCTATCCATTAAATAGCAAGGACAGGCAATACATTATAAAAGCCAACTTATCATTAGCGTCGGTAACGTTCAAAACATTGGTCCAGCATATTTGGAAGTAGGCACACATATCAATCGATAAAGAATGCCTTTAACTAAATGATGTTCGATTATGAGTATCATAATTGATACCTAGATCCATAATAAGGAACCAATCTCTCAGAACATCCCATAATCAGATATCCCACCAGAAAGGGAATTGGTCATAGTGAATCAGTAACGTAAATAAAGTCTAACAAAACCAGCTTACAACGCGGGGCATATCGTGTGGGTCAGGAGTTCACCAATTTCAGTCCAAGAGTTGATGTCCACTTAGGCCGTTCATTGGAACGTGAATCGTTCACGTGCAAATTAACATTAAAGTCACCATGAAGTGTTATGTTTTCGTAGGATATCGAGACCTCGTGTAACGCCTGAAAAATATTATCCAAACAATTAGGCCTATGTGAATTGTATACTACTAACTCTCGACACCAAGATATTCAACCACGCTGTCATTTGCGGATCTGAATGCAGTCTTATAGTTTGAAGCCTGACTACTGTAGAATGCGTGTTTGACCAAGTTCAGTTTGTTAATATACGCAGGACATCGTTTACTTAATGTCGGGTGGTTCACATCAACATTCAGATTCAAGTGATCTTTTGACCAAATGAAATCCATGCACTTAGCTATGGATTCCTTGTCACAACCTCTTGAATTGTGGTCACCATGATATTTGAAACAGATATTTCGGTCTTTACAATCCTTGGCATAATAGTTAGCTTATAGTATACAATAATCTCCGCACCGTCATATATCCGACATTTCTCCCAACCAACACAAAATTTACTTTCCGCCATGATCCCATGGAACGATGCCCAATCTATCTCAACAACCGCGCTATGATAGGTTTTTCCTTCCTTCATGACACTATAAGATCTCGCGATTGTAAGCGTGCTCTCATCCAAAATAGGGTTCTGACTGCGCAACTTGTCCAAAAGTTGCCGACCATATCAAACTTTAGAGGCATTATTTGTTCCACCATTAAACAGTAGAGCTTGCTCAGCACACATCTTAAAAAAAATCGAATCAATTTCGCAACAAAAAGATAAAATAACCGAATCTAAATTAGTAGCTTTACCTAAATCTCGAATGAACAAATATTGTTTGAGTTAAATTTTTGAAAATCAACTATTGTGTGTGTATTTATATAAATATCATATTTATTCGATACACTCGCGTCTAACGGAAGAGACAATATTTTCTTTAATGTAAACAAAATAAAATGCACTCCACATCGTGCATTACTGCACAGATGTTCTCGCAAACTCTTTTTCACATTAATTCATTAAAAAACAATATATTAATATAAATAATAATAGCGAAGACGGTATAATGCAAATATATAAACAAATGAGCAAGAATCTGAGAGTTGAGAAAGTGCATTACTATTAGAGACAATAGCGAAAACTTTTTTACAACTAATAAAAGCGATGGAGAGGGGCTCTTTTACAACTTTAGTTTTTCGTGCATGCAAGTCACAACTTATATTGATATTAATTTGCATTTCTTTTCTTTTTGTTTACTTTTAAAAAAAATTTATACATATTTTAGAAACAATTTAAAGCTTTATGGTGTCAGAAAGCTCTCTTACATGTCACACAATGGACATGCAATTGTTCGCGACTTGCTACCCAAATATGCGGCTCATGTGAATATGTGGTAATTTCTATATCGTCGTCGGCAAATACCATTTCGAGTATACTTTTAACACGAAACCATTCCAGGCGATCAATGCCGCAACCCAATCGAGGTATAGCTAATTTTTTGACACCATGTTGACGCTACATTTGAAATATATTTAAAGGAATTTATTTGTTTCTCTTATTCCATTCCATATATATGATGCATGTACTTACCATATGATCTCTTGTGGTTAGTAAAGCATAAAACAAAGCTATGTAAGTACTTTTCTCATGCTGACGTTCCTTTGTTACCAAATTGTAAACATAACGTTTATGATCTTTTAAAACCGCCACACTCCCGGTATGATGATCTTGTCGTAGCATTTCATGATTTCGTCCATTTTTGCATTTGAACTGCAAGCTAATATTACGACACATTGCAAAATCGGCACTAATCGAATGAACGACCGAACAATTTTCTGTAGCTTTTTTATCGTGAGCACTTCGTTCGATTATCCGACATCTGGGAGTGCTGAACTGTATAATTAGTATCAATGAAAATATCTTAAATAATTATTTCTTATCAGATCACTCAATAACATATCACTCTGTAATATATATATGATAACCATGTTAACGCGTCCATATGATTTTTGGATACAGCCAGCCCTCAAACGAGATGTGTCAAAATTGCATGACATTCCGAACACATAGTTTACAAATGACAGTTGTTTTAGTTACGCTACATGTTTGGTCGCTTTGGATACCTTTCGTCGGTTGCAATCTACTCGGCTGACTCTCAATATAACTCTGGAACTCTGGTAGTGGTGAATCAACGTTTCATTCAATCTCACATATTGCATGAAAAAATCCTTTTAAACGCGGCACTCACTTCGAACAGACATTGCTCATGGACAAATGTTAATAAACAATAGTAACTGGTGTCAGTTACCTCAAGAAATTTCACTTTTTGGTCTTCCAAAACGATTTTGTGCACATTTTTTATGGTTTTTGGAATAATTGTCGATTTTGGGTGATTAGAGCGTTAAGCACCATCGCGGTACATACGGTTTTATTTAAAAAATTTGGGAGTCACTATAACACCTCTCAAACCAATGCTGATTGTGAGCTATAATTTTTCTCATCGAAAAGCAGTGTTTTTAATTAAATATTCGGAAATTCAGGTTTTGCTATTGGTTTAAAAACATTACGTAAATAGCGGCCCTAAAATAGCTGTAACTTGTGGACTAATGGATGGAATGTCATGACATTTTCACACATTTCCTTTGAAAGCTGCTGTCCAGGAATCATATTAACAGTCTATTAACAGTGTTGCCATATATGTATTTTTGTATTGCATACCTTTGACGGTTGATAATTACAAATCATTATTTCCGTATTATATTCTTTGGCAAAAACTTTCACTATGATTTCTTTAACCAGAGCCCATTTTAAACCCTCACTACCGCAACATATACGAGGCATGGCGACTTTGCTAGCACCATAATTACGCTAAATACCCAAGGTGTTTTCCGTATATTATTTACCTATTTCGATATAATGCGAAAAAATAAGATTAACTTACCATATGATGCCTCATGCAAATTATCGCGGCTTCTAAGTTTTCATAAGTAGTCCTTTGATATATGTTCTCTACGATTACAAGATGATAAATGAAACGTGAATTCTCTTCTAAAACAGCAATATTGCCGCGTTGTATATGTTGGCGTCTTAACTGATCGGTTTGACCAAATATTATTGAAAATTTCCAAGCTAATGTACCCTTCTCCGGAAAAAAATCTGCTGTACTAGTGTAAGCCAATGAATAGTTTTGCGGGACATCAAGTAGATCGCAATTCATTTCAGTTAATTTAAAAGCAGTCATTTTGACAAAATTCGTTCAGTTAAATCCGGAAAATGTTTTCTACGAGAGCTTTGAAATAAAATGAAAGCAATCAATAAAGTTTGTATTTTGAAGAATAATGTTCTGAGGTTTAATTCTTGTACATAATTTCTCGCCCGAGTGCATTACGAATCAAATTGATGAGTGAGGAGTCGGCTACGAGCAATATATTATTATTATTATTATTAATTTATCCAGAGAAATAAATTCTAAGGCTAATCGCTATCATAAGAGGCTTTCGAGCAATATAATCTCTAGTCATACTTCCAAATCATTGACAACACATTTCATTAATAACAAAAGTTATGTTAGCTTCCAAAGTGTCGATTCAAGTTACCAATGTCGATCAAACACTTCATAGATGACCCAAAGAAAACAATCCAAAGGCGTTAGATGATATCATTTTCGAAATCAGTTCACGGAACCATTTCGCCAAATAACGTTGTCGCAAAGTTCTTCGTCAATTTCGGTAATAGTATGAAGCGTCCACGATCTGCAACCAATGGCCAAATGACAAGTTCAGTCTTTCTTTTACAAGTTGCCATTTATTAAAAACGCAAAAAAACCCGAAAGAATAATCGGTTAAAGTATTCCCTTCAAAGTGCTTTTTGAAACTTTTACAGAAAAATGGAAAAGACATTCTGGTTACATTTGCTAAGCAACTGTTCCAAGTCATAAGTGCTTCGATTGCACGAAACTTTTCATTACTAACTGCAAAAGTTTTTTTTTTATTTATTCCGTAAAAATTCCCAATGCTTGATCAATATTCACTTAAATGCTTTGAAATTGTTATCTAATTACTTAGTTTTTTGTTATTTTCAATTCGATGGTATTTGAAATAGTGGGCGCTTCACTGATTGCATACAGTTCATGTTCAATGTCAAAGCTTCCGCATTATAATTAACACCCATACTGTAAACTTGCAACGAAAACAACAATTTTAAGAAGAAATCGTACGGTTTTTTGCCCTTGCACTGCAATAAAAAATTAAAAAAGTAAACAAACAAAAGTAAACGAAAAGCTGTCTTGAAACGAATTTTAAAAACTCTCCTGTACATAAGTTAAAGTAGCAAGCAGTCAGCCAACCAATAACACAAGCATGGTAATGTTTCTCAAAATTTTTGTTGGACATTTATCTAATATCTTAGAACGAGACTTGCTTTATAGTTTATAAGTTATTGTAAAAAAGATTTTGAATACTTTGGGATCTTATCTCTCTTAAAATAACATAATGCGGCTTTTGACTTTCTTTGGCGACTTGCAAAGTTTCAACAATGCAGAGTCATATGCGCGCACCAACATGGTTAAGGTGAAAAGAAAAGAGAGCGAGGGAGAGATTGAGAGAGCAGTAATCTTTCACACATCGTACGAAACTCACATACAAATCTTATCATAATAGACGCGATTAGTCTATTCTCATATGCTCTGCCGGTTTATTCAAGCTAACCCAACACGACCTAGTGACTTTGCAGTCTTAAATCTAAAATATACTGAACACCCTCTCAGCTCATTAATTCAATTCATATGTGTATATACTAAAAATTGAGACAAGGGCTATATCTTGAGTTAGGTTTAATATATATATTTTTTTAAACTATTATATGCTTTATTGAATCTCTTAGGTGTACTTTTGAATCGCACTAACCGTGTAAAAGATTTATTATACCTGGTTTTTCTGACGCTAAGCATAAAAGTAAATTTCAATTTATGCATGTATATGCATAAATTCAAAAAAAACTATTTATTTTTTTAATGCATTGAAAGCTATACATATTTCAACGATATTACAGTTCGTGCCAATACGATTCCTAAATTGGGTAGATCTTTACATTATCCATTGAATTGTATGAAAGAAGTAAGAAAAATAATCAGCAGTTGTAGAACTTTCATATTAGATATCATAGTTAAAACTATATACGATGATATCCGTTGTTGTTTCATTTCCACAGAAGTACATGTTGTGTTACTATGAGTACATAGCAAAAATTTGCAATTGTTATCAGTTTTATATCGAAATTCAAACTTAATAAAATTCAAATGACTGAGGATCGTACTATGTTCTACATAAACGAACTATTGTGTATATTTACATAAAGCAAAAAATTAACTATCGTTTGTATTAAGACAGAATTTGAATAAGTTTCTAGTCTTCTGCAGTGAGATGTCACAATAAACATTTTAATTTTACTAACAAAGAAATCACTTAAACAATTTCTTTGAACTTTGAAGATCTTACTATAAACAAATAATTCCGACTATTCCGATTACTTTTATTTAGAAAAAAGGAGCAAAGTGAAACTGGAATAAACAAAAATGAAGATGATAAAGATATTGCTCTTGTTGCGATTGTAGTCAAACAGCGACGATTTCAGAGTTAAGTAAAGCGCACAACTGAACATAGAGATTAACGTTGAAGGTAACTTTTCTGAATGTTTTCGCTCATCATTTAGATCACATATGAAAACAAAACAAGTTTCCCAATTCCTGATGTAGAAGAATTCTATTGTTATCATTATTGTAATTAATTTAGACAGCGAAATAAATTCTTAGACTAAAGACTTCAAGTACTAGCATCTAAGCCTATCGACTTCATTGAAAGCTCTACAGCACTTGAGATTTGAATCCGCAGTTATATGCACAAAAATTAGGAGATGACGGTCTTAAACTGCGATTAGAGAAATCTGACGAGACTTATTGAGCCAAGAGCTTTAGTTCACTAATGAAGTCAAAAGAGAAAAAGAAGCTTTTAAATAAATCTAATCAATCAATTCCACGAGAATCGAATAACTTAGGCAATTGATCCATTGAAATGGATCATAAATGCGAAGTGCAATCTTAGAGGAGCTAAACGAAATTCAACTGAATTGATTTAGGGAAACAGCACCACAGTTTTGCCATTGACTGTACATAGGCAGTCAGAGTTTTGTAAATAAATCAGAAAATCAGGCTAAATTTAGAATAAAATTGCGAATAATGAAAATAAAAAACATAAACTGGTTACAATTTAAATTGTATGTGATTTTATCAAAAACCGGTTTATGCACTTAATCATTTTAGCATATACACACAAATACTAACACACTCGCACACACACACACACACACACATTTAATAATGCGTGTATTCATACACTTGAACATTTCCGAAGAGTGTTTATGTTTGTTTATTTCAGCATTCGATACATGACCAACCTCAAAATATGGTTCAATTCTGTCGATTTATTGCCGTCATCGGAATGAGCCTGTGAATCAGCGTTATTTTAAATAAGAGTATGGCTATTTATTTTGATATGATATTATCAAAGGAGATTCAATGAATGACAATCTGATTTAATCTTAGATTAAGCTGATTAGCCTGACGATTAGTTAATTAATTTTCAAAATATTTATCAAATCATTAACGAAGAGCAAAATATCTTTACTATAACCAGTTTTTTGTTTTTTTTTTTTTTTTTTTTTTTTGTTTATTTAATACCTAAGTGTGGATCACTATTTACATCTATAATAAATACCTCAAACGCCTACAATAACAACTAATAGCGATTGCACCCGCTAAAGCGAAAAACAACTTTAACTGAACGCCAAGTTACTATTTTAGGCACTTAATTAAATACGAATTAGAAAATGGACGATTTACGTTGTCAATGCTTCGATGACACCCTCACTTGCATATACACGTCCGCATTTGAATGCTCATTTTATATAATGCACTAAATTTTACAAATGTTTACGCTTAGTAACCATATCCATCACTTAAATGGTATACTGATTTCATCGGTGTGCGGGTACAACCCAGGCGTGTTTACCTAGTTAATCTACATATGAAAATAAATAAATATTCAACATTTTTCGAGGGCATTATTTTGTTGAATAGGAAAAGCATTACAATTGAACCACTTTCTAGTTGACAAAAGGCTAATATTCAAAATAACGAATGGGCTGATTAACAAAAAACAAAAAAAACAAAGATTCGTGTTTTCATATTTTTCTTTTCAAAATTTAATAAATTGCTCTGTAAATATTTTATTTTCGACCGAACCCATTAAGAAGTTTCTTGCTCAGAAAATATACGATAGAGTGTAATATATTGTAACGTAAAATGCTGCCTTTAGCAATTATTCGTTTTTATTCAATTGCTTTTAAAATTAAGCGGTACGAAGAATTGTGGCTTTTAGGATAGTATAGGTTTCATTTACCATTCCCTAGGGGATCTGTTTACACGTTATTTACAGGGATTTGTATTTACGACGCTTTAATTCTTCTTCCGGTCCTATCCGTTCGAATATTACGATTCAACTATTTTCACTCTATTGACTTTGTCTTCCGCTTATTACCCTGCTTATATACCCTTTTATAAGCAAGTTACGAGTAATTAACTTTACCACGACATTTTTAGTTATTAATTCCTTTTCCGATAAATATTTTATTAATCATTATTAATCTTTCCGTTAATCATCAGCTGCGTGAGGTAGTTAAAGTGTTTATGAATGTGTTTTTAGCTTTACCTTTCTTTTCCATGTGGTTCCTTAGATCATTGACTAGTCAAATATGGGATTTTCATAACATTGCCCTCTACTTAATTGTCCCTAAAAAGGTAATTTTTAATTTAAATTACGAGTCTGCTCGCGTGTGCCACGTTTCCGTCTTTCGGATGTTTCTCGATCCAATACACTCTGCCAGTTACCATTGTGATAACTTTCTAAGGTACTTTCCACTAAAATTAAAAATTAGTTAATAATCTGTCGCTACACGATGGCCTATACATTTGCACTAAATCTTCTTCGGCACGGCATCCTGAGCTCACTCTTCGATCATTCAAGGCCGTCAACGTGCCACTTGCAATTTGATTTCTGACTGTAAATCGTTTTGGACTCCCTCGATCTTTCAGCTTATTGTTCGCTTCTTTTGATTTACTACATTCCTCATACATATGAAGCTATGCTGCTATTGTTCTTCGGCAGTGTACCCAGTAGACTTTCCCGTTAATTTCTCTAACGGTCTTCGTAGCAATATTTTAAAAACTCTCGGTAACTGCTTTTTGAACTGTATTCAATTGTCATGTTCAAAAAAGTCGCACTGGCTCCTTGTGCTTGTTTATGAAAATTACAAAAGCATTATATTTTGTAAAAAATTTGTTCTCCTTGGTTATAAAATATCTGGAGACGCCCTTCAAGATAATTCTTTGTTGAATAATTTTGTTTTCCTCTGCTTTCAGTATTTGCTTTTTTAAAAGTTAAATAAAATATTTTTTTTTTTTACTTTCTGAGTTTATTTCAATTTACAAAATATTAAACTAAATACACATTTCTTCAATTTCTTATATAAATATAAGTAATTCTTTTTACCTATTTATTAAACCCATCAATTTGTCTTAAACTTTGCAAATGGTACTGGTGCAGAGAAACCATTGTCGACACTGCTATAAACGGCTCACTTTAGAGAAATGTATTTAGTCGCTCTCTTCGTTGAAAGAAAAAATTCTCGAAACAGTGTGTAGAAAATCGGCTTCAGAATGTCTCTAATCGATTTAAGCTTGCCTGTCTGCCCGTCTGTCCGTCTAATCTTTGACAGTCCGATATATGTCTATGCACTTTTGTATTCAATATGTAGGTCGCAGCTTTCAAAAAAATTTGGTACACGCATGTGTAAAGCCCAAGTAGGAATCAGATCACTTTTCACTCTTATTTTGAAAAGTTGTCGCGACTAGAAAAGTATTGCAAATTTGTGATCACACAAAAATCGCTGAGTAGTAGTATTTCTGCGTTTTAAATTGTCTAAATGATGTGAAAAATTTGTATTGGGTGGAAAAATTTTTTAACACCCCTATGACTGGTTACAACTGAATCTTGATATGGTAAAAAGATCTAATTTTCAAGTTTAGTGAAAACTGGCCCATAATAGTAGTTTGACATAGAAATTAACTTTACCTAATTTTGACGTCGCACATCTATGAAAGAAAAATGTCCAATTTTTTATATACTTTGCGGAAAATTGATACATAGGAATACTTTGATGTAAACGAATTAAGTAGATTTATTTTTTGAACGCCATTGTATATAAGGATTCTCATGAAAAATAAATTCCTATATGTCCCTATAAGTTTGAGATAATTTTTAAGATTGTATGATAAAAATTAGTCCTTACTAGCAGGTTAACACAAAAATTGATCGCAAGAAATTTGGATCAAAAGTCAGTTTATTTTTATTATTCTTCTTTTTTTATATCTTCCTTCATATTGTATACGAGTTTTTAAAAAAATTAGTATAAGATTTACTCTTGAATTCGACGGTTAAATAAAAAAAATAAAATATACTGGCGTTCTCAAAAATCCATTACATGGCGACAAAGTCTAATTTGTGGCTTTTTATGGTGACAGGTGAAAGATAACACAGTTTTCAATAAGTTAACGCTTTAAGTATCCTCCGGTATGAGGGCTTTCGCGAAAAGTACGTACAATTATTGGTGTATTATCTTAAAATTCAATGAAGAATTGTAGGCAAACAGGCGAATCGGTTTAGGATATACGGGTGGCGGCAAATTGCCCGGCTATAATATTCTTACTTATTTACATTTGCTATTGGGAAAGTTGGTGACTTTTTGTAAAAAAAAAAAAAAATAAGAAGAAAAATTATATTTGACCGCAGCCGAATTTCTACTCAAAAAAAAAAAAAAAAACAAAAAAACAAAAAAAAACAACGTTTGATACTTAATAACAGCTTGTAGGCGTGGCCATGTTCGTTTCGTTCAAATGCTGCAGAACCGCTCATAGAATATATGTGGGAATTTTTGTCGTTATATCTGTTGTGGTTTCTCGATAATGAGTAAAAGAATCCAATTCCTGTGCATTTGGAAGTAGAAGTGTTCTCAGTTTACATCGCAGAGTTGATATCCTTTACCTGTTTTGCACCGTTTTATATGCCAGTCTGTGTGAACAAACTACCAATATTTTCGTCAGATTCGAACGCGATATCTCCATATTTGCGAACAAATGAATGTTTAACACATGCATTACGCAGGCGGGGATGCTTAAATCAATTCAGCTTTTGAAATGGATCAAGAACATTTACATTTTATAGTATGTTCGAAATTTCCTTCAGGGTTTTGCAAACGTTTTGACATAATGAGAGTACGTCTATCCTCCGATCATAAGTATTAAAAGGCATTGCATTAAACTTTTGGTTTTATGCTTTTGGTTGATAAAACGACTTAGTACTATTTAAAAAAGTTACGTTCCTGCCGTTCCCAATTAATGCATTTAAAGAAAATTGTCTTCTATAAGTAATTAAAAGCTTTTTATTTAGCAAGTAATACTGCACATTATATGTATTTGCTTATCTATGAACAAATCTTAAGGTTGCATTTTCGAAATAATATATTTATGTTTATTTACAACAGAAAACATTTATATATTATTTGTAGTAAATATTATAATTTCTTGCAACATATATAACGAGAAATATTTTCAACTATCGCTGACCAACTTCGTAATTTTGCTGGCAAGGGTAAAACTATATATTCAAGTTGTCATGAAATATCAATTTTCGGAAAAAGTTTTGGGAGGTTATTATCAATAAATGACGTTTGGTGATACACAACGGCTTCGTCCTATCAAATTACGTGTTTGAAAAGTAACATTTCATTCTATAATTTTCATAAAGATAGCTTTGCTTTACCTTCAGCACGTCACAGGTTGCCTCAGTGGGAACATGGTTCAAATTTCTTGAAAAATTCACTGCATTTTGCAGTTTCACTACAAAGAAGGCTGGAAATTTTTTCGAAATAACTATATAAAATTGGGGTTTCGAAACAATCTTCTTGCTTGTATTTCTTGCCGATCCTAATGCAAGATACAGTCGCAATAGATTACAAAATTCGAGAATAATATCTTCGGAACTAAGATAATCTCAGCAAAAACATTTGAATTTGAAGTTAAAATCTAGGGCAGACATTCTTTTGAAGATTGCAAAGAGATTTTAAAAAATAATCAATACGCAGTTCAAATTCATGTCTTCTCTTCATTCGTCTTCGTTGATTAATATTTTGAGCCGTCTTATTGATTGTCTTAATACAGTTTCGCAGGTCAGTTATTCGTTCATAATAATTAATAAGTAACGAGATAGATAAGGCGGTTGATATTTTTCACTTAAGTCAGTCAGTCAAAATAATTTTATTAAAACACATCAAAACATTAGAAACAGTATAGGGGGCACGGCCCATCAGTAAATACCCTCCATAACCCTACAGTTATTCACGTATCAACTTTTCAAAATGAAGCGTTACAGGGGAAATAGTCGAAACAATGGTCCAATTTCAACCATCTTCAACAGCGGTCGTTCTTGGGCCACAATACGGTGGTGTGTCAAATTTCATCAAAATATCTCTAAAATTGCGGCTTGTAGATTGAAGAAAAGAAAACGAGACGGACAGACCGACAGACGGACAAACGGATTCAGATTGATTCGTCATCGATCAATATTATAAAAAGCGCATCTATACTCTTGTGTATACCTCTACAGACCGCTTAAAGGATATTTTTACAAATTTTATTTGATAAAAAATTTTCGAAACATAAGAAGGTAAAAAAACACATAGCTGGATAAAACCGTGCATTACACAATCTTTGGCAATTCGCAACGACTTTTATAAAACGGTACAGTATAAGTAGAGTGATTTGATCCAATTTATTTTCAACAGAAATCGTCCGTCGGCCAAAACATTTCAGTGAACTAACTGCCTCAACATATTGCGAAAATTGGGAGCTGTACGCTGAATATAATGAATAAATGAGCAGACATCGGACAGACAAATGACTTGAAGATTAAAGCAATCCAGATATACCCGATCGATTAATACATAGATTTATCTGGATCTATCTCAAGGTTTTCTAAGCGTTGCTTGCGTTTGCACAAAGTGCCTAAATGATATCTGGTACCACAAGCTAAGTTATGTTACGCATGTAAAGCAGAACAAACGAAAAAGACTTTGTTTAATACATGTTCGAATTAAAAAAATAAAAGTTTTAAACTTAATTTCTATTCCCTCCAGCGGGTTTGAATCAAACATTTTTACATCTTTTTTCCAATGTTCGGTTGATGCATGAATCATTCAGGCAATTAGCTGAGCAAAGGTATGCATGATGTGATGATAACATCAAAAATGGTAATACAAAGCAACAAAGTTTTAATAGGTTTGCGTTTCAGTTTAATTTATTATTCATTAATTTTCACTTTTGTTTACGTTGCCGCTCGTGTGTATATATAATTTTTTTTGTTTTATATATGTTTACGAATAACAGTAGTTGGTAAACTAATAAAAAAGAAAGAAACTGAAACAATTCACACGTATTTGCGAGCAACGATGTGCATACATTACTTAACGATGTGTGACCTATTTATGTGTACATTTAAGGGGGCGGTAGGAGGAAAAATTAAATGTAGAAACTGGGCTTGTTTAAAAATTGCTTTAAGGAAAAATTGTTTTTTTTTTTTTTTTTCAATATAATTTTACAAACGCTTACCTATTAAATTAATTGTGATTGTCGTATAATATTTTGATTATTTTTTTTTACAAACAAGAGATTCGCTTAAAATTCTTCACTTCCATTAATAATAATAATAATAATAATAATAATAATAACAAGATTATGCGTAGACGCGGCAAGCCGAGCACAATACTGACCAATCAAGCAATTTAAGTTAGTTTATAATGCGCTTATCGCGACTTTTAAGTAACGCTTTCATGCGTTCTCAAATGTCAAGTGAAGTGTCAATCAAGTGAGGTATCACTAACTAACTTATGAGCTGGCTGACTGGCTGATTAGTTACCTCGGCATTCTGTTTACGCTGTATGGTTGGGTTTGAGAGACTTATTGATGTTGCATGTTTGGAGGTAACTCTTGAATGAAAGAGCTTGTTGCCATCAGATAATTTATATGAGTTAAGACACAAACCAATTATTAGTAAAAGCTTTAGAACGAATTAAATAGAAGTAGTATCGCATTAAAGTAGACTAGAACTCTACAGGGTATAAATGATATGCAAAAGCCTGAATGGATGCTTGTTTTTAAGTTGGATTTGTAAACTGAATGAATTTAAATGAAATCAATTGAAGTCTTATTTAAGATTTCTTTTAATCTAATTTTAAAGGCTCCCCATTTTCTCATATTTTCATTTTTATTTGCCACCTTTCATTATTATTTGATTATTGTAAGAAAATTTGCATAATCGAAATTCAAAACATAACATGTTTATGTGAATATTGCATAAACCTTTAAAGAAATGCAAATTTCATTTAAGCTTTTCGCCTATGGAAAGATTTTTAAGACATCTAGTACTTCGTCTTCATTTAATAATTTTCCAAGCGAGACTTCTTTATATAAACTCATCATCTTATACGGCTGTTGTTGTTGCTGTCGCTTGTGCTGTTGCTGCTGCTGCTGCTGCCATAGCTACTGTTTTCTCCTTTTTTTGGGAAAAATTATGCAAATTCAGTTTAGTGACACTTCCGTTACACTCAGTCACTCAGTCAGTCATTTAGTCAAGTCAATTCATACCCTCTGGCATATTCATAATTTCAAAAAACTGGTGTCAAAATCGAATTTGTTGTTATAAAATACTCACACTACCGCTCTCCTCTCATCACAGCCAAATGAATCGACCACGTTCAGCCTGTGCTTTCTGGTTGAAAAGTTGTAACTAATCATCATATTCCATCCACTTCGTATTGTTTAAATTACCATTATTGTTCATGTTGCTCATCTTGTTTTTGCTTTTGTTGTTGTTGCTACATTTATACCATTGTTATAAAGAGACATTGTTCGGGGGTGAGAGTTTTCAAATTAAGTTACTCATTGTTTCTTTACATTTCCGGTACTTAATTTTACATCAATGTTTAGCCGTGTCGCGCACTATTATGATATATTTTCATATATATGGAATATTTTTGGATTTCACTGTAAATCGGTGATAAAAATTTAAAGAAGAATAAATGATTTTTAAATTATTTACTATTTAAAGGATCTAGAGGGGAATGAAAGAAAGAAAGGCACGTGTACTGCTACCGATAGTTAATTAAATCAAAATATTTTTTTTTTTCTAAGACAAATATGACATCGGATGCAATTTTTTTAAAAATTTAATAAAAACAAATTTCTATTTAATATTTTTGATAAGAACATGGCAGACTGATATTGTACTGACATACTTATTGATTTCTTAGCAAAAATCTATCTACCTATGTACAGGATTGTCCGGTCCGAAAATGAAGATCTTATATAATTTTTAAAGTAAATTTGAAATTAGAAAGATTACGTTGTTTCAAAAATATTGAGCACAACAGCAGAGACAGTGTTACTCGATTCGTTAATCTCCTTTATTTGTGGGAATGGAATTGAAGACCAAGAGGATCACATTACTAAACAGAGAAATGTGTACGTTTTGGTGTGTTAATAAAATCCATAAAATTGGGTAGAAAAGAAAAAGTGACTGAACTTAAGATCACATTTTTAAAACCCTTTGATAATTTTTAAAGTCTGTTGCTTAGTTTTGAAAAATTTGAGAGGAAAAGGGAGGAGGAGGGTCTAACTAATTCTATAGCTTATAAGATGTTATTGCTATTGCTCTAAAACTATTTCTATATGTCTTTCGCGTATATCTTCCTCCCCTTTCGAAGCCATTGTTCAATCTGCTGGTAGCAATTCTCGAGGTGTTTTGATAGAATTTGCTACACGGTTTTCTTTCGGCCTATGTGAAAAATAAGTGAAATCGAATCATTTTTAAAAGCACACCTCTTATGACGCCATATTTGAAAAATATCGTTATGTGAAAAGAATTTGCCAAAAAAACTTTGGCTAAGAAAAATTAATGAATAATGAGGCGTATTGAAAATATGTACAAAAGTCTGGATGTAATAGAAGATTATACTTAGCCCCTTTTTCTATAAAAAACCTTCTTAAAAAATATTAATCTTTGTATTTGTCAACGAGTTCCTCCAAAACAACATACAAATTTACTGTGCTCATTATAAGGTTTTGGGCTACTAACTCGGCGACGAGTTTCTGAGAGATGGTGGAGGGGTTGGCTGGAAGATAAACTCTTCACTCTATAGCAAGTTACTACCTAGGAACTTTCTGAATGGATTTAAGTACGTTGAAGGTAGTAATCTAGCGAGTGCATGGTAGATCGCCCCTGCCATGTCAGTGCAATACCCGAGACCTATATATCTCGAAGAAAAGTAGTTCTTGGTGTTGTACCAGGATGTATGGTGAATCCGAAATACAAGTGCGGTTGTTTTACAACCGCCCAAAGTATGCCAAAGGCTTTGCAAAATAAACTGTGAGCTACGGGGGTGAGGAGGCTCGCCTCACAAAGCCACGCATGCCTGCGGGTGTATGATGGACTTTGTTCATAAAGTCGTAACGAAATAAAAGTTTTTTTTCAAGAGTAGAATTAATAATACAAAAAGGAATTGATGGATGGCCTTCTCTTTGGCCAATTAATAAAAACCCTCTTGAGAATTAATTAGTACATGCAAATATTAAAAAAGGGATTTGACGGAAGGCTTTTTCCCCTTTTGCCTACATACTTTTTGAACATATGTCACGGATGCCTGCGGGTAATGGTGGTAATTGATCAACGGCGCCGTGGAAGCCTTATGGCGGAAGCGAGCGCAAATTTTTTACCCTTTTGAACGAATATCGTTGATCAATTTGTGAGTCCTGACTGCTTGGGTGCGGCCCTTCGGGGAGTACTCGTGGTGGTTGTGGTTGGCAGTTCCTAGCCAAAGTGGAACAGTCGAGTGCAGCTAGGCCTCACACTTACCAGAGTGACGGTTCATACGGCCATACACCGTGAACCATCTGCGCACCTGGGGGTAAGAAAGGCCCCCTTACTAGGGGATTGTCTCTCCCCCCGGGGGGTGATCACTCAACTCAATTGAGTACCTGTGTAAGATTCAATTTTTGTATTTAACGATGGAGATAGATGACAAATCGTTTTAGGAAATTTGTTGATTGGCCGGGCATGATCGGATTACAATCGGATGTGCCGATATATCTGTCGAGATCCTATTTCAAGATTTGGAAATTCGGACACTTAAAAGTTCACCAAGAAAATGTTACATTTATTGAACTAAAATTTTTTACACCGTCCGCCGTGTATTAATTTCTTTTGAATAACACTTGTTTTAGTCGATGAGTCACTACCTCTCTGAATAATATATACGTTGCTAAGACGGCATTGCAACTTGATCGGTTATTGATCAGTGTGAAGGTCCTATTTAAGAATTCTTATGACTTTCTCCACACGGTATAAGTAAAAAGTGAAAACTACGCGATACTACACAATAACCCGGAAAAATATTATTCATAAACTAGGTGCCTGTAGCTGTTATACGTACTTTTTGAACAAATTCCAAATTTGTGTGTTTTTTACTTTCTTCTTTAGAGCCAATAGCCTGTGCCGCTAGTGCTCAATGTCTTTTTTTTTAGTCTAAGGGTTTATTTCATTAGTCTAAAATAATAATAATAATAATAATACTTTCTTCTGTACTTTTCTCTTCAATGACTATTTGCTGTAAACAAAGTCTGGCAAAATTCTAAAAATGGCTTTATTTAATAAAATTGATTTAATTTGTTTTTTGCGTTTTCTTTTTTATATTAAAAAAAAAAATGCATTTCTCGATTGTTAGAATGCTATTGTGTTACAGTTATATTGACATTTTTTAATCAAAAAGGAGAACGCTCTATGCATGTCAACGCCCATACAGCAAAACATGGGGTATAAGCCCAAAAATGATCTACCAATGTTATACTACCATAATGCTGCCTATGCTAACCTATGCAGTTTGGCCTAATGGCCTAAGGTAGAGCAAATAATGGCAGTGAAGATGTAACGTCTCACTTGCATTGACATGACCGAAGAAATCCTGAACACCATAGAAGCGCTGCTGGTCATAACACTTCTTTCTATAGTTCCAGAAAAAGAAGCTTATCTCAGCGCACTTACTATTTACGCACTTACTTACTTACACTATCGATAAACTAAAATTGGGAAATCTCAGGAACCGTCTAGAGGTTTGAAAAATATTACGGACGAACTATTTGTCAAGATACCTGACCATTGCGTCGCAGTACTGTGACCAGCTGTTAAAAGCTGGATGGAAACAAGGAAACTCTCCACCGATTGTTCAAAAGTGGAAAGTGGCAAAACTGGGGCTGCTGCTTGTGGTCTAAGTTTTCAGAAAGCAATACCAATCCTCCATATTCTTAGCAGAAGTCTCTAAGGAAGGAAAAAGCTGACCTGCACATATCGCGGCAGTCAACCCGCCTTTCAGGGTCCAAAAGGGAGAATGATAACATCTAGACTTGTGTTGGAGTACCTTCAAGCATCGAATGATCTAGGCAAGCACAACGACAAACACCTAATATGTGTGAGTGGCGAATGGGGGTTTGAGGGTAAGAAAACGTTAGACTGTCTAGCTAGCAGAGGGGTGCGAGGAATGATGATGGGTTTTGAACGTTTCCGTGGCGTACCAAGAAGCCATATTAATAGGCTGGTATCGCAACGGGCACAGAGAAAATCGTATTACCATTGAAAGCAAGCTGTAGGACAACGGCAAACAAAAAGATTTATAAAATCTTCCGGCATGGCACATATGCTGCTGGAACTAAAAAGAAGTGACCTACGCTTGATCACAACCTTGTACAGCCGTCATAATTCCCTCAGGTGCCACCTGAAAAACTTGGGTCTGTTCGATACCTATTTATGCAGATTCTGCCAAGCGTCGAATGAGACGGCCCATCATATTCCATTTGAATGTAAGGCTATCTGCAGGATCAAACACGACATGTTTGGCGACCATTTTATAACACCGGATACGGTTTGGTGCTCCGAACGAAACGAGGTGGTGGGATCCATAAGATTTCTAAAACTGGATGGCTAGGGGCACGGGCGAGTACAAGAGATATATAATAATAACCTATGAACATTTGCTAAATGGCAGAATCAGTAGACAATTTAGATTCGCTCGTTTTGGCACAAATATTATGTTTTTCAGAATATGGCAAAGCAAAGTGATATATTCCCGTCACTTGCCTTTCTACTCATAGTAAACGTAACGTTAACATCAAAGTTTTAAAGTAAGGCGTAGAGTTTTCTCACTTTCTTCGTTTGATGTTATGTCGCAACGGTTGCTCTAGTTTCTTTTCATAGTTCAATTTGTTGAAGCCTTCACTTTAAGGGTGACACAATTCACATCTTAAAGTTCGACTTATTTATCGAAATTTCATATTGCCATCATAACAAAATCTTATATACCAGAGTTTATTTAAGGTTTCAAGGTTATAAACGGACGATACGAATAAATCTTAGGTACTCTTTGTCAAAGTTCGTTTAATAAAAAATATAAAACAGCAGCCGGATCATAACCACGAACTTACCGTTGCTATCAAACTGATCAGTAATTTTTGATAAAGAATTTATAATAAGTCGTATGTAAATATTTATCTCAATAATTCTTACTTTATGTTCCAATTCCAAGAAAGATGTACACTATACAGGATATTAATTTTTAAAGAACTGCTTTACCTCTTCTTCTAAAAATCAAAAGAACCAATAACGTTATAGTAAGCCCCGGTCGAACGTAGAATGCCTCACACCATTTTCCTTTATACTTTTATTGATATAACGATTTTTCAATATAAGACTTTATTTAGGCTGTAGCCGAAAAAGTGGACCCATTCAAACTATTTTCGATAGTGTTCGTCTCTGGCCCAAAGACGTCGATGTACCGGTATGCCATAAAAGTGTCTCAAAAATGGCGAGCTGTAAGTAGAACAGAAAAATACAAATTGGAGAGACGGACAAACAAGCTTAGAATCACTTTCTGAATTGATCGGTGTAATAAAAAGATGGGTCTATCTTAAATCTGGATGATGAGTTTTCTTGTAAAATCGTACCATTCTGAGTGCCAAAGGTTTCATTAGTAGGAAAAACGCACTATACTTTGTAACGCGAATCATTGGCAAGCAAACCGGCATAGTACCGTTATTCTTAAGGAAGTATTTGTTTCTCTTACGAATAAAGCTGGGTTTTAGTAGTTACATAATAGCCACTTACCCGTCATACGAGCACATACATTCTTCGCTTTGAACTTAGGGTTCACAATAACGGACGGAAGAAGAATCCCATTTTTAATCGCCCAATTTAGCGGGGAGTACCATCTTATGAAAAATCCTAACCATAGTTTATGATGCTGCATTTATTTGCTATAATTTCTAACTTGTTTATTATTGTTGGATATACGTGGTTGCTGCTAAGAAAAAGTTCTTTTTTAATTCGAAAAAAATTTTTAGCTGCAGAACTCTTTACATAGGTATGTAGAGATAAAAAAATAGATAAATTGAATATACACTTGCCCGCAGCTGTATTTTGAGAAAACAAGAAAACACTGGAAAACGTATTCATCCATATGTAAAACGAAATCGAAATGTCGAAATAGAAACGATTTGACTTATTCCACATGAAGGGGTTCAAAGAAGCGGAAAAAAGAAATTGACCAAATACCAACCAATGCGCAAGCATGTGAAAGATGCCAATCTTAAATGACTTGAGTTTATTAAAAGGAAAATAACTGAAATAAACGACATGTAATGCATGTGTAGATATAACGCATGAAAAATACATTTCACATGCCATGCAGGGTTTGGAAATGTTATTGATTGAATTCAGTAATATGCATCCTATATGTAATACTAAAGTATGCTAATTTCGATTTGGCGTTTGTAACCGTCAGGAATAGCACTTCTTCAAAAGGCGTTGTGTACGCCATATATTATGTAATACATTGTGTACGCTGTATAACATAATTATGTTACATTGCTGCAGTACATGAGCTATTAAGTTGTTTTAGTTATTTCCGTTTGTCCGTTCATTTCATGTCAAAGTTCTCA